GGCTGGGCTGAGCAGGGCTGAGCTGGGCAGAGCTGGGCTGGGCTGGGCTGGGCTGGGCTGGGCTGAGCTGGGCAGAGCTGGGCTGAGCTGGGCTGGGCTGGTTTGGGTTGGATGGTCTGAGCTAGGTGGTCTGAGCTGGTCTCAGCTTGTTGAGCTGGGCTAAATGGAGCTAGGTGGGCTGAGCTGGGCTTGTCTGAGCTGGAGTGAGCTGAAATCAGCTAGGCTGATCTGGGCTTTGCTGAATTGGGCTGAGCTGGACTGAGCTTGGCTGAGCTGGACTAGGCTGATCTGAGCTGGGCTGATCTGGGCTGGGCTGGGCTGGGCTGGGCTGGTCAGTGTTGAGCTGAACTGAGCTGAGCTGGTTTGGGTTGGACGGTCTGAGCTAGGTGGTCTGAGCCATGCTGAGCTGGGCTGAACAGCAAGCTGGGCTGAGCAGGGCTGAGACGAGCTGGGCTGGACTAAGGGGGATGATCAGGTTGGGCTGAACAAGGTCTCAGCTGCACTGAGCTGAGCTGGGATGGCTGAAGTTGGGTGGGCTGAGCTAGACTGGGATGAGCTGAGTGGGGCCGAGCCTGCCAGGCTGAGCGAGGCTGAACAGGGCTTCACTGCAGTGGGCTACTCTGGGCTGACCTAGGCGAAGCTGGGCCAAGCTGAGCTGGACTGAACTGGGCTGGGGTGAGCTAGACAGAGTGAGCTGAGCTGGGCCAAGAGGAGCTGATCCAGCCTGAGCTAACTAGGCTGAGATTAGCTTGGCAAAACTGGACTGAACAGTGCCAATCTCTACCTGGCTGGGCTGACCAGGGCTGACCAGGGCTGAGCTGGGTGAAGCTGAGCTGGGTAAACCAAATAGAGCTGGGCTGAGCTGATCTACTCTGAATGGGTGGACTGGGCTGGGCTGAGCTAGGCTGAGCTGAGCTGGCCTGAGATGGACAGAACCTGGCCAAACTGAGCTGAGCTGGACTGAACTGGCTGACCTGAGCTAGAAGACTGGGTTAGACTGCACTGAGCTGAGCACAGCTGAGCTGAGCTGGGACGAGATGGGCCGGGCCGGGCTGGGCTGTGCAGGGCAGGGGATGGCCTAAGCTAGATGCACAGTCCTGGTCGAGGTTTTCTGGGACTCTGCGCAGAACTGAAGAGTAGTCTGCAGGCTGAGTGCAGACCAGCCCCAGTCCCTGGGTCCAGCCAGACTGTCCCTCCCTTTCTTTGGAGCATGGGGGCCATGAAGTAAAAGGTCCATCCAGGGTGCTCTTCTCTCTTTCCTTGCTGCCCTGAAATCCGGCCGTGCACTTCCTGTGTCCTGGTCTTGTCCCGGCGGAAGCCCTGCTCTGCACTGGGCCTCTGGCCTTGAGACCCATGTAGGTCTTGGGAGTCTTCTGCTGCGTGTTGGGTGCTGAGATGGGGTTGGTGGAGTGGTGGGTGATGGGCCTGTGACACTGCAGGAGAAGTTGAGGTGGGCACAGCATGGTACCCCCAGGCAGGCTTGCTTCAACAGCAAGACAGCTCTGTGCCTTCCTGGGCCCAAGTCATGACCCCCACCCTGGGGAGAGCAGGAGTGAGGCTGGGGAGCCAGAGGCTGCTCAGCAGTGGAGCCTGTTTGGAAAGGACAGCTCACCATCTGTGCAGAGGCCCTGTCTCAGGCCAGACTGGGTCCTTGTGCAGGCACAGTGTAGGGGTCAGTTTCCAAAGCAGTGAAGGGTCGGCTGGCTCCAATCCCAGGCCCATGGCATAGAAGCTGTGTGACCTAGGCAGTTGCCAGCCCTCTCTGGGCCACATTCCTCTGCAGTCAAGCGAAGCAGGCATGGTCCTGTCCGGAGTGGCTCTCTGGAGGTGGGCAGCGAGGGCCATCCATCTCACAGCATGTCCTGTGTTCCAGTCTCCATGACCAAGCCCAGCGTCTTCCCACTGAGCGGCCCTCGAGACAAGTCAGCCAACCAAGTGATCATTGGCTGCCTGATTCAGAACTTCTTCCCCTCGGGGCCCGTGACCGTGACCTGGGGCAAGAATGGAGAAGGCGTGACCGTCACTGACTTCCCGCCTGCCCAGGCCACAGGGGGCCTGTACACCATGAGCAGCAAGCTGACCCTGCCAGCCTCCGAGTGCCCAGAGAACACATCTGTGAAGTGCAGCGTGCAGCACACCTCGAACCCTGCCCAGGAAGTGGAGGTGCCCTGTGAAGGTCAGAGGGCACCTGGAGCGGGGCCACCATCCTGCCCTGACCCAGCACCTGGACCGTGCCCCACTGAGGCCCCCCTTGGGAGCCGAGGTTCCATGAGAGTGAACTGCCTGATGAGACCCTGGGGTGGCCACAGACGGGCCAGGAGGGGGCCACGGCTCAAGGATGGGGACAGGGAAGGGGGTAGGAGGGGCATGCTGACCTGCCAGTCCCTCTCTCGGTTTCAGATCCTAAGGAGGAGCTCCCTCCCGTCTGCGGCCAACCCCGCCTCTCCCTGCTCCGGCCGGCCCTTGAGGACCTGCTCCTGGGCTCTGACGCCAGCCTCACGTGCACACTGAGTGGCCTCAAGAGTCCAGATGGGGCCAGCTTCACCTGGGAGCCCTCAGTCGGGAAGAACGCTGTCCAGACTACTGGGCGAGACGCCTGCGGCTGCTACAGCGTGTCCAGTGTCCTGCCCGGCTGTGCCGAGCCCTGGAACCGCGGGGACATCTTCACGTGCACGGCCACCCATCCTGACTCCAGACAGACGCTAACTGCCACCATCAGCAAAGCCACAGGTGGGCTCTGCCGCACCCGTCTCTTCACGGTGCCACAGCCCGCACGCCGGCCTCCTCCAGCACCAGGCTCGACTCACGGGCCACACACACTCACACACTCACACAGACACACTCACACAGACACTCACACTCACACACAGACACTCACACACAGAGACACACATTCACACTCACACACATAGGCACTCACACACACAGACACACTCACACACACAGTCACACTCACACACAGACACACACTCACACACACACACTCACACTCACACACAACACTCACACACATAGGCACTCACACAGACACTCACACAGACACACTCACACACACAGTCACACTCACACACACAGGCACTCACACACACTCACACACAGACACACACTGACACACACACAGACACACACAGAGACACACACTCACACTCACACACAACACTCACACACACAGACACTCACACAGACACTCACACACAGACACACACTCACACACACACACACTCACACACTCACACTCCCACAGGCCCCACTGTACAGGGAGACAGGCCGGCTGGGGGTTCAGGCCAGGCCCAGGTGCCCAGCTAGGTAGGGACTCCTTCTGCTCAGACCCCTGACCCAGCTCTCTTCCCTCCAGAGAACACCTTCCGGCCCCAGGTCCACCTGCTGCCGCCGCCGTCGGAGGAGCTGGCCCTGAACGAGCTGGTGTCGCTGACGTGCCTGGTGCGGGGCTTCAGCCCTGAGGACGTGCTGGTGCGCTGGCTGCACGGGGGCCAGGAGCTGCCCAGCAGCGAGTACCTGACGTGGAAGCCCCTGAAGGAGCCCGAGCAGGGCCCCACCACCTTCGCCGTGACCAGCGTGCTGCGTGTGACGGCCGCGTCCTGGAAGCAGGGGGACAACTTCTCCTGCATGGTGGGCCACGAGACCCTGCCCCTGGCCTTCACCCAAAAGACCATCGACCGCCTGTCGGGTAAACCCACCCACGTCAACGTGTCCGTGATCATGGCGGAGGCCGACGGCACCTGCTACTGAGCCGCCCGCCCCAGCCCTTGAATAAACTCTATGCCCATCCATAGCGGCCACGCGCTTCCGTCCATCCTAGGGTCTGCAGCACGCTGGGAGGGGGCCAGGGAGGGAAGAGCGCCCGCTGCCCTGAGCCTCTGAGGGCCTTGGCACCATGGGGACGTCCCCACCTGGAGGGCGCGCGTGAGTGTGTGCGCTGTGCCTGTGTCCTGTGAAGAGGTGGACAGGGAGTCCTGAGTGGGTGGGGGCTGCTGCCTGTGGGGACAAGGCTGGCGCAGGAGCCATAGAGGGGTGGCACCGAAGGGGCGCGGAGTCCCAGGCCCGCCCTGCCCTCAGCGGGCCAGTCTAGGCAAGCCAGGTACGGCTGGGCAGGACAGGGAGGCACTGCCCGCACCCAGGCCACCCGTGGCCGCCCCGCCCCATGCCTCACATGGCTCTGCGCCCGTGCACATGCATGCACACACACACTCACTCTCTCACACACACACTCACACAGACACACACACACTCTCATATACACAGACACACTCTCTCACATTCACACACAGACACACACTCATTCTCTCTCACACACACACTCTCACACACATACACACTCACACAGACTCACACTCACACACTCCCTCTCACACACACATACACACACACAGACACAGACACACACTCTCTCATATACAGACACACTCTCTCACATACACACACAGATACACTCATACACACACATACATACACTCTCACACAAACACACACTCTCACACACATAGATACTCTCACTCACATACTCACACACACACATACTCATATACACTCATATTCACACACACTCTTAAACACATACATACTCATACACACATATACTCACACACACTCTCTCACACACATACACACTCCTTACACACTCACACACAYACTCTCACACACATAGATACTCTCACTCACATACTCACACACACACATACTCTWAYACACTCATATTCACACACACTCTTAAACACATACATACTCATACACACATATACTCACACACACTCTCACACACATACACACATACACACTCCTTACACACTCACACACACACTCTCACACTCTAACACACTCACTCTCTCATACACACACATACACATACACACACTCTCACACTCTCTCACACATACTCTCACACACACACACTCTCTCACACACATTCACACACTCTCTCACACACTCCGACACACACACTCACACACACTCCAACATATACASTCTCTCACACTCTCACATACACATACACACACACTCTCATACATACATGCACACACTCACACACACTCTGACACACACTCTCACATATACACTCACACACACATACACACACGCTCACTCTCTCACACACACATACACACATTCCAACACTCTCACACTCCAACACACTCACACATACTCTGACATATACTCTCTCACACATACTCACTCACACTCTCTCACAAACATTTACACACTCTCTCACACACACTCTGACATATACTCTCTCACACTCTCACACACACATACACACATAATCACACACACACAGACACTACAACACACACACTCTCACAAACACTCTGACATACACTCTCTCAGACTCTCTCACACACAGATTCACACACACTCTGTCTCACACACACATAAACACACACTCTCTTTCACACATATACTCTATACACACTCTCTCTCTCACACACACACTCTCTCTCTCTCTCTCTCTCACACACACACACACACACTCATCTGAGCCCTGCAGATGCAGGAAATACACAGCCCAAGCTCACGCCAGGCAAGCAAGGGGAAGCCCCTCCCAAGCCCCCAGTGTGTCCCCAGGCTGTTGCACACCCAGGCCTCTCCTGGCCTCCCTGCATGTCCAGCTATGCACAGCTCAAAACACTGCTGTAGACCCCCCAAGCAGCACCTGCCCGCTGCACAGGCCCCAGACTCAGTGTCCCTTCCCTTCCTGAGCCCACTATGACTCAGGCAATAGACGGGGCAGAGGCCAAGGCTGGGAGGCTTGGGCAGACCAGGGAGACTCTCCCACACAGGCCCCTTGTGGCCTCGGAATTCTGCTTGGGCTCCCAAGAGCACGTGAGAACAGCCCCACGTCTTTGTGGGGCAGCTGGCACCAAGATGCCCACAAGGGGGCAGCGGGGCCTCTGCTTTCTTCTCAGTTGCTCTCGGAGCCTCCCCAGGGAACCTGCTTCTAACAGCCTCCCCCTGCACTCAGGGCCAAGGTGGAGTGGACCGTCCACACCCTGGACTCTGCTGTCCCCCTTGAGGAGGGTTTAGTCACCATAGGGCCACAGGGAGACTGGGGAGAGCCTGTCCCCAGAGAAGTGCTCCAGCCACTCCAAGGGGCCCAGGACATGACCCAAAAGAAGGCCTTCTAGAAAGAAGGGGAAAGAGTTAGAGTGGTCCAGGAAGGGCTGGGCCAGCAGGTGGAGAGCAGACAGATGGATTGTGGACGCAGGATAAATGGATGGGTGGGTGGGTAGACAGGTGGGTGGGGGGCTGAGTGGAAGAGAGCTTTACAGAGGGTGGGTGGATGGGTGGATCATATAGCCCCATGGATGGACGGCTGATAGATGGACGAATGGCTGAGAGCCCCATGGGTGGGTGGGTGGATGGGTGGGTGAGAAGATGGATGGGTGGATGAAAACTGCATGGATGGATGAGTGAATGGATGGGTGGATGGATGGATGGGTAAGTGGGTATGGGTGGATGGAGGGATAGACAGACGGATGGATGGATGGATGGATGGATGGATGGGTGATAACTGGATGGTGGATCGGTGGAAGAATGGATGGACAGAAGGAGGCTAGCTATATGGATGGACAGAGGAGTAGACAGAGGCAGGATGAACTGGATGTATCAGCAGGGGACAGGCAGGCCCAACCCCATTTGACATGGGCGATTTATGCCCTGGGACCTGAAGACAGCAGGACTGCCATGCTGGTGGCCTTCAGGGCCCTCGCTGGTGTGCCTCTGCCAGGTTTCCTGGGAAGGCCACAGAGGCCGTGTCACACTCTCCAGCCCTCCGCACTCTGACCTCAGACCCAGAGCTCTGTAGGTCTGGGAGGCCACTGAGGGCCTGCATGGGGCTGAGGCCCAGGTGGCCTGGGCTGGAGTCTCCTCGGGCCACAGGACAATGCTCACCCTCCTGCCTGCCAGGTCTCTTGCCTGGTGTCCTGAGAGACAGCGGCCTGTGGGCCTCCCAGAGCTGCCAAGGTCCCAGACCCTTACCTGGGCCCTGTGGCTCCGACACATTTCAGACCTGAAGCAGGGAACCTGTGCTACCAGGGCCAGACCCCGGGGTGTAGGAAGGGAAGCCTGAGACCCAGGCCCTCACCCATGTGGGCTTCGGCCTGCAGGTCCTCTGTGTCTTCCAGACTGTCAGGAGCCACTGCCCTACGTGGTGCTGGACCAGCCACAGGAGATCCTGGAGGAGGACGTCCCAGGGGCCAGCCTGTGGCCCACCACCGTCACCCTCCTCACCCTCTTCCTGCTGAGCCTGTTCTATAGCACAGCGCTGACCGTCACGACCGTGCGGGGCCCGCCTGGCAGCAAAGAGGGCCCACAGTACTGAGGAGGAGACAGCCGGCCCAGGTGGGGTGCAGGAGGGAGTCCGTGGGCCAGCGTGGGAGGGTGCGCTCGGTTCTGTGGACCGGAAGAGACCACCTGTTCCCACCGTGTGGGCTTTGCTCTCCCAGGAAGTGGGTCCCTTCACACCCACTGAGGACGTGGGGGTCATGTGGGAGGTCCCCACAGGCGCAGTAACTTCAAGATTCAGCCCAGTCTCGGGGCCAGGCCTGGGTCAGGGGCACAGACAAGGACCTGCCCACCTCAGGACCCCCTCTGGCCCCTCTTGTCTTCACAGGGAGGAAACGTGGAGACACCCTGGATGTGTCAGAGCTGAGCCCTGAGTGAGGCCACGGTCTCACCCCCACTCTCCGCTTTCCCTGCAATAAACTGATGCCAAACGCAGACATTCTCAGACTCTCAGACAAGTGGGGGGCAGGGACTGTGATGGCACAGACTGGGGCATGCCTATCTCTAGAGGGGGGAGTCAGGGCAGGAGGGACAGAGTGACCCTTGTCTCGTGTCTGAGACAGGACCTGGTCCCACCTGAGACTGAGGCCAAAGGTTGAATTCTAGCTTCACCAACGGACAATGTCCAGGAAGACTCCTCCTCAGAGCTGTGGCCAGGTCCCCAACCTTGATCCCTAGGCCCTGATCTCTGACACTGCTTGCTCCTGAACCCTTGGCCAGGCCTATAGGCACCCAGAGTGGGTCCTGAATGCTGACCCCTGGTCCTGAACCATTGCCCTTATCCTGAGCACTGAGGCCTGGTCCTGATAACTGGGCACTGGGAGGCTCACTGAGCTCTGAATGATTAGCCTTGGTCCTGAGCACTGGGCCCTGACCTGATCACAAGGCCATGGTCCTGACCAGTGAATCCTGTTCCAAATCACTAGACCCTGATCCTGATTCCAAGCCTGGGTCTTGATCACTGGGACACAGTCCAGAACCCGTGAGCTCTGATTGTGATCACTGGGCCCTGGCCCTGGTCACTGGAGCATGGTACTGATGCACTAGGCCTTCGTACCAATCACTGAGATATCGCTTGGTGACAGGGCAGACATTCGGGTCACTGAGCCCTGGTCCTGCTCACTGGGCCCTGGCCCTGGTCCTGGATACTAAGCCCTGGTCCTGATCACTGAGTCCTGGTCCTGATCACTGGGCCCTGGTCTTGATTACAGTACCCTAGCTCTTACACCTGGGTATTGGTATAAATACTGGGCCCAAGTCCTGGTCACTGAGCCCTGCTCCTGTTCACTGGGCCCTGGTCCTCATCATTAAGTCCTGGTCCTGATCACTGGGTCCTGGTCCTCATCATTAAGTCCTGGTCCTGATCACTGGGCCCTGGTCCTCATCATTAAGTCCTGGTCCTGATCACTGGGCCCTGGTCCTCATCATTAAGTCCTGGTCCTGATCACTGGGCCCTGGTCTTGATTACAGTACCCTAGCTCTTACACCTGGGTGCTGGGGTCCTGCCCTAGCGGGGTCCAGGGGGTCCTGAAGGATGAGTGGGTCGGTGCCAAGGAGGAGACAGGAGTCTTGGAGGGATCGCTAGAGAGCTTATGCAGCTTGCTCTGGGTCACCTTTTCTTGCCATTTTTCTCATCATTATGGATTCAGAATACGTCACTGATTATACAATTTCCAAATTTTGCCAAGACATGACATTTCCTTAACAACCCTTAGGAGTATAGAAAAATGTAACATCAATTTACATTTTTCCAGGATGTGACATTTACTTATCAATTATTAGGGGTACAAAATCATTAATAAAGTGTGTCACTAACTTGCATTTTTCAGATTTTCCAAAGAAATACTATTTTTCCCAAGATATACTATTTTCTTATTAACAGATGCTAAACTGCACAACCAGACTCTAAGTCTCCTAACCTGTCATTAACCTTTAAACTTAAAGTACACCTGCACTTTATTTCTAATCTAAAATCCCCATCTAAAGAAGTCCCTTTAAATCTTATACTTAAAATATCCTAAAGTCTATAAACTATTCTTAAAGCATCTTAAGAACCCATACAGCTGAAAACTTAAGAATTCTAAACCCCAAGAATCTAAATAAAATAATATTTCTAACATTATTCTAAAGACATGTCTTATCAAGCTACTTTATTTAATTCCTACACTTATTCTCATAAAACTGGTTGAGCTGCTTTCTCAGAGTTTCTTTGTTTCTTAGCCAAGGTGCACCAGTTCTTATGTTTTTTATAATCTCTCTCAGTGAAAGGCAAGTTCTGAACATCAGTCCACTTACCACCAATATTAACTACACACATCATAGTCCCTATGTGAGGTAAAAGAGGGTTTAGAGAAAAGAGGAGAATGTGTCTTTATTTATCTTAACTTTCCTAAGTGCATAACATGATTTTCCCTTAATCAAATAAATCTACATAGGGTGGGCTTTGTGCACTAAGCATGATGATCAGGCTTTCTAAGAGGCGGGGATACGGGCTTGGGTTCTTAGTGATATCATCAATGTGGTGCCTAAAGTTCTCATGACCTTTCGGAGAATGATTGTTGTCCATTATCAGTGTTGTCCTCAGTGGGCTGAGATAGAAGACATCTTGTCCCGATGTGCTGAGGGGTAGTAGAGCAGCCCTCCAGGCATGAAGTGCCGTTGGGTTCTAGCCCTGTGAAGTTTAATTTGGTTTGGCATTCAGCACCCTCAGGCCTCCTGTCAGGAACATGAGCATGAAAATGAAAAGTCCCAAGTACACACAAAAGGGTCTCATGGTTTCCGTTTCCCACCAACCAGCGCGGCTTTGCCAGCACTCAGCCTCACTGTGACCTTGTCAAGACGTGGGAGGGGGAGCACCTTCACCACCTGGGTATCAGTATGGACACTGGGCCCATGTCCTGGTCACTGAGCCCTGGTCCTGGTCATGAGTCCTGGTCCTCATCATTTAGTCCTGGTCCTGATCACTGGGCCCTGGTCCTGATCACTGGGCCCAGGTCCTGGTCACTGAGCCCTGGTTCTGGTCACTGAGTCCAGGTCCTCATCATTTAGTCCTGGTCCTGATCACTGGGCCCTGGTCTTGATTACAGTACCCTAGCTCTTATACCTGGGTATTGGTATGGACACTAGGTCCTGCTCCTGGTCATGAGTCCTGGTCCTCATCATTAAGTCCTGGTCCTGATCACTGGGCTCTGGTCTTGATTACAGTACCCTAGCCCTTACACCTGGGTATTGGTATGGACACTGAGCCCTGCTCCTGGTCATGAGTCCTGGTCCTCATCATTTAGTCTTGGTCCTGGTCACTAGGCCCTGGTCCTGATCACTGGGCCCTGGCCCTGGTCACTGGGCCCTAGTTCTGATCACTGGGCCCTGGCCCTGGTCACTGGGTCCTGGTCCTGATCACTGGGCCCTGGTCTTGATTACAGTACCCTAGCTCTTACACCTGGGTATTGGCATGGACACTGGGTCCTGGTTCTGGTCACTGAGTCCTGGTCCTCATCATTAAGTCCTGGTCCTGATCACTGGGCTCTGGTCTTGATTACAGTACCCTAGCTCTTACACCTGGGTATTGGTATGAACACTGGGCCCAGATTCTGGTCACTGAGCCCTGCTCCTGGTCACTGAGTCATGATCCTCATCATTTAGTCCTGGTTCTGGTCACTAGGCCCTGATCCTGGTCACTGGGACCTGGTCTTGTTTATGGGACCCTGATTCTAACACCTGGATGTTGATATGAACACTGAGACCTGGTCCTGGTCACTGAGCCTGGTCCTGGTCACTAGGCCCTGGTCCTGGTAACTGGGCCCTTGTCCTTGTCATTGAGCCCTGATTCTTTTTTTTTAGAGAGAGAGAGAATTTTAATATTTATTTTTTAGTTTTCGGCGGACACAACATCTTTGTCTGTATGTGGTGCTGAGGATCGAACCTGGGCCGCACGCATGCCAGGCGAGCGCACTACCGCTTGAGCCACATCCCCAGCCCAATGAGCCCTGATTCTGATCACTACACCCTTGTCCTAGTCACTGGGCCCTGGTCCTGGTCACTGAACCTGGTCCTGGTCACTGGCCCCTGGTCCTCATCATTGGGTCCCTGTCTGGGGGGCCCTGGTCCTGGTCACTGGGTCCTGGACCTTCATCACTTCCCCTTCCCCTGAGGTCTACCCAGGCTTCACTCGGCCTTGGGGTCCTGTTTCCATGTACTGCTCCTCAATCTCCTCAGGATTGGAAAGACTGTCCCGCGGTCCCCACAGACCCTCTGTTCTCACACCACGTGTGGCTAGAGCAAGGGTCCTGTGCTCTTCCAGCCTCTCCAGGCCCAGAGGGGTGTGTGGATACCAAGCTGCCCGGACCAGCGTGAGCAGCCTCCACCCCAGCAGGGTCCCCAAGTCAGAGGTCAGCACTGTGAAGAGGGACTAAGGGCAGGTGTGGGCTGGCGGGGCCAAAGGGGGTGCGCATTGTGGGGTGGAGGGCCCTTGTTTTTCTCTTGTTTCTGCAGCCTCTCACCCGTCACCTGCGGAACCCCCAAAATAGCCCAGCGGGTGGCTGAGTCATTGTGATCACAGCTCAGCCCAGGTGTCCCAGACAGCACTGCTGTCCTGAGACGCAGGCCCAAAATAGAGCCCTGGACAGATGGGCTGGTGCCTGGGTGAGGGGCTAGAGCCAGGAGGGCCCTTCAAGAGCAGTAAGGTCTCCAAGACCTGAGAAGGCCCAGGCCATCTGTCAGCATCAGCAAGGTCAGCCAAGATCGGCCAGATCAGCCAGGGTCCCCCACAATCTGGCCTCGGTGAGCCCAAGGTCAGGCAGGATTAGAAAAAAGTAAAACAACACAACCCTGTGCTGCCCAGGGTCACCAGAGGCAGGCAAGGATGTGCCCCGGGTCAGCTAACGTCAGCCTGGGTCAGCCAGGGCCAACCTAGGGTCGGCTAGGGTCAACAAAGGTCAGCCAGGCTCAGCCAGGGCCAGGCTGGGGCAGGCCGGGACTGCCAGGATCCAAAGGCACCTGCCAAGGGTGGGGCCAGGCTCTCCGTGGGGCAGGATTCACCTGTGGGCAGG